TGCCTTTGCTTTCTAAGATATCAGTGCTCTGTTTTACTGGTGCATATTATCCCCTCCAACTTGTCTTCGAACCTCAGAAAAACTAAACACTGACACGTATCGTGTGCTGTGATAGTGCGATGTTATATTTTTGCCATATGTGGCGGTGATTCTGTGAGAGAGACAGGTAGAGAATATGAGCGTGTTAGGCAGCGGCGCTGCACAGAGCGTCTCTCACAGCGAGCGTATCAAAGTGGCGTGCTGCTGATTGATGTCTGCTTGCAGGAGACTGACAGCTGCTCTGGTGGCGCAGAGGCACCCTCACACATCTAAAACTCTCCTCTCTCTCTCTCTCTCTGTGTCTCTCTCTCTCTTTCTCTCGATAGCGCTATCTATTCCATCTTAATCCTCTCCCCTCCTCGGCTTCCTCTGCGCTGCCATACGCTCGCAGCTAAGAGTCATTTGTTCGCAGGGTCGTGGGGCATCGCCAAATTAACAGGCTGCTAAAGGCAGAGAAAGACTGCGCGAGTGCGTGATTGAATTGTCTGCGGTCTCCGCGGCACTTAACCGCTCGCATCCCCCCCCCCGCACATACGCGCCTGCTCTTGAGTCAATGATCCGTGCATCACGGCTTTAAATGTGTCAGATAAACCCATCGATTTTAAATGCCAGTGACAGGTGTGGGGGAAGAGGGAGGGAGGGCAGGGGAGAGAGCGAGATAGAGAGACAGAGGCAGATAGAGATGGAGAGAGAGAGAGCAGACTGTCAGTGGGTTTGAGAGTAGGCTGTGCAGAGGGGTGTGCACGCCTCACTGACTAAAATAGCCAAATGAATCACGGTACATCACTGTGCAAAAGTGACTCAGCAATTTAACACCACGACGCGCGGCCTACGTTATTCCGTGAGTCAGCTTTGAGGCTGCGTAACCCGAGCTGACCACAAAATCTCAACGAACATTTCAACACGAGAGCCAATAAATCAATCTGTCATTAGAGATTTAGTTGTAAGATCCATAGACGCCTTCGCTGCGATGAGTTTTCAGCACAGTGGTGCCACCTGCTGGACGATTCCGACACCTGATGGCTGGAAACATTTAAAGGGGAATTCCACCGAATTTTTCAACACTTCTCCATAATTTAAACCTTAAAGGTGTACACAAAGTCTTTCAGAGTGATTTGATGTGAACTGGTCCATTGTAGAGGAACAGTGGTGGTGATAGGAACCAGAGGTCGGAAGGTCTTCAACACAAATATAGCCGTTTTATTTACTATCCACAACCACCAGTGAGCCTACATGTGTCTTCTGAGTGTTTGTGTAATTTTGATGACAGTAAAACAGCAGTAAATCTCAAAGAATAGCTTTTTTTTTTTACTTACAACACCTTGTATGCACCTCTCTGCCACAAATGCTAAAGCTTAAGACCAAAATGTTCTCAAATCTATCGTTAAAAAAGTGTATCAAACCATTTATGTACATTTATGTACTTGCTTTCTTCTTTATATATACATGTGTGTGTATATTGGATGAGCATATCAGGGTGAATCAGGGTGAATCAGGGCGTTCTTTTACACATGCGGGTCAGTTCATGAGCGTGATCTGAACTGGTCCATTGTAGAGAAACAGTGGTGGTGATAGGAACCAGAGGTCGGGAGGTCTTCAACACAAATATAGCCGTTTTATTTACTATCCACAACCACCAGTGAGCCTACATGTGTCTTCTGAGTGTTTATGCGATCTGTTCTGTTCAGACTGAGAGATTTAGGTCACACCAAAAAGAAAATGTGAACAACTAAACAACAAACTGAGATTTAGGCAGTAAACTGGATCTGGGCCACTTTCACCTGCAGTCTGAAAACAGCCCTGGTAATTTGTTTCCCTCTTGGTAATTTGCTGTGAACTGTACTGGGCGTCACCTCAGTCTCACTGGGATTTCGACTATGGGCTCATTACCATTTAATTCCTTTGTAAACGTGCATGTGTGAAAGGAGCTTTGCGAAAATGGTTCTTTAAGGTCCTCCCTTTGAGGGGTTCTTTAGTCCTTCTACTACACACTTAAAAATAAAGGTTCTTTGCACAATGCCATAGAAGAACCACTTCTTTCAATAGCTTTTTCTTTAGAGAACCATTTGTGTAAATTAAATGTGAGAGAGTACAGAACCTTCTATGAATGAAATTGTTGAAATTGTTACAGAACCTTCTTATTGGGTATAGATGGTTCTTTAGAGAATCATTTTTGTAAATGGAATGTGTGAGAGCTAAAAATCTAACAAAAAGGTTCTAGGAAGAACCCTTAAATTGTTACAGAACCTTCATATTGGGTATAGATGGTTCTTCAGAGAACCATTTTTGTAAAAGAGATGGGTGAGAGCAAAGAATCTAATAAAAAAGGTTCTAAGAAGAATCCTTAAACTGTTACAGAACCTTCATATTGGGTATAAATGGTTCTTTAGAGAACCATTTTTATAAATGAGATGTGTGACAGCAAAGAATCTAATAAAAAGGTTCTAGGAAGAACCCTTAAATTGTTACAGAACCTTCATATTGGGTATAGACGGTTCTTTCGAACCAAAGCTTCTTTGCATGGTGCCACAGAAAAACCAATTTGCTTCCCTAAAGAATATTTCAATAGTTTGTTCTTTAGAGAACCGTTTTTATAAATGAAATGTGAGAGAGTACAGAATCTTCTAGTTAGCACCCTTAAATTGTCACAGAACCTTCATACTGAGTGTAGATGGTTCTTTGGCAAAGTGTTTATGTAAATGAGATGCGTGAGAGCGAAGAATATAATGTAAAGGTTCTAGAAAGAACCCTTAAATTGTTACAGTACCTGTATATTGTGTGAGGGTTCCCAAAGCTTTTAATCGGTTTTTCACACCCAAACATGGTTCTTTAGGAAGCCAATAGTTGCTGTTCTATAGCATCGCAGCAAAGAACCCTTGTGGGCACTTTCATTTTAAGAGTAAAGCTCTATTTAAACTGCCAACACTGTGTTTGTATGGGGAAAGTACAGCGGTCAGCACTCAGAATGGGTAAACTCTAAACACAATCCTGCAAATTAAGGGAAAGTGTGATGTCACACCCTTTAAAATATGAGAGGAAACAGGGGAGAAGCTGTACTTTTGTCTCTGATGTTCATTTACAGCAGATTCTCATTTTGTAAAACGCTACTTTTGTCTAAATTTCAGTGGCGCAAGTTAAAGGCATTACGTCAAGTAATAACAGAGAGAACAGACAAGCGCAGTCATGAAGGTGTTTCATGGCCTCAAACAAAACAAAACAAAAGAGCCAAAAGGAACCAAAAACGGGGAGCCACTTTAGATGAAGTGTAAGAGTTTACTCACCGGCTTCAGACTGAAAAAAGAAAGTGTCTCTTTAAGCACTGCCATAAAAGAACAATTTCTGGATGGATGGGTGGTTCTTTAGAGAACCGGGTTTGTAAATAAGATGTGTGAATGTGAAAAACCTTTTTAAAGTCCAAAATAACACAGAGGTTCTAGAAAGAACCTCTATATTATGTGAACGTTTCTTTAGACTCACACATCTCTTTATTAAATGTAGTTCTTCAGAGAACCAAAGGTGTTTTCTCCAAAGAGGTGCTCAAAGAACCTTTTTGAAGGACCTGCTTTTAAGAGTGATGAACAAGTTTTGGTTCCCTTAAGAACCCTCTTTGAAAAATAGGGGATGTCTGAGTATGAAGAACCTTGTAAAGGCTTAAAGAGCCAAAGTAGTGCTTTGCTAATTTAAGTGGTCTTCTTTTAAAGGCTTCTTTGCAGTAGGAGAGCCAGATTAGGTTCCCTAAAGAACCTTTCAATAGACAGTTCTCTGAATAACCTTGGGAAGAACATCATGTAAAGGTTGTATATTAATTAGATTGTCCTAGAATCATACGTCCAATCCAGAACCTGTTTAGGAGCCTTTATTTTACAGTGTACAGTCACTCACATAAATAAAGAACTTCTATTTTTAAGACGGGCTGTAGACGTGCGCATCTGTGGAAAAGCCACATCCTTTCTTTTATTTATTCCAAAAATGAAATGGTAATAAAAGTAGTATTTAGTCAATTCTGTTGGACCTGTATTATTATTATTATTATTATTATTATTATTATTATTATTATTGTTATTATTATTATTATTATTATTAGCATTTCAAATCCTGTCACACCTTTTTTGGGAACCAGTTTTTTGGATCAGGGGCCGTATAACAGAAACACACACACACACACACACACACACACACACACACACACACACACAGCTGAAACGTAAAGGTTATCAAAGTAATCAAGCTAGTTAGCCAGACAGCTAACATCAGCTGATTTAAAAAGGTCAAACAAAACTAAAGCACGATAAACTGAGAGTTAATAATATTGTGACAGCGCTTCGTGCTGTTTATCAGAGTCGCTGCTCCACAGTTTCAGTCTCCATTTCCCAAACGCTTTAGCCGAGCGCGCTAACGTTATTTCTCCTAATAAACAGACACACGTTCAGCTCTGTCTCCTCATTATTCACCACCATCACTGTAATATTTCATCATCAACATCAACACACGAAGGTAATAAGAGGACGGGGGAGATCGAGTCTGCAGCGTCTGGTGTTTTTAAAAGTTAAACCACAGTTTTCAGTGTAGATAAATGTAGCGTCATTATGTCAGTTATAGTGAACTGTGCTGCCTCTCACTGCACAAAACAATAGAAACAGACGGTTAAAACAGAAGTTAAGACCCTCTGGGGTTTGTCTTCAAGTTAGGACAGAGTTTATTAGATTTATTCTAGTTAGGATGTTTCTGTAATACTGTTTTCTTATCTGGAGTTAATGATAAGATTATGAACTTAAGAACTGTTGTTCTGTAATAGCATCTGTCCTAAATTCAGTCCTAACTGAAGTTGTCGTGGTGACTAAACAGATAAGATTTCAGATTTAAGAAGTTTCTGTAATAAAAAGCGGCCCCTGGTTTGTCTCTGACTGTTGCTCAGCACTGTACGACAGACTGTACATGGTTAAGTGTAAGAGTTTACTCACTGGCTTCAGACTGATCAGAGTCTGGCTTCAGCTCACTCCACCACGGCTTGAAGTTCAGATGAACTTTCCTCGTCTCTTCGCCTTCATACAAATCACACCTGTGAGGAATTAACACAAATGACTCTCTGATGCTTCGACTAAAGTTTCTGAAAGCATCTTTTAACTCTTAGAAGTTGGCAGCAGCAACGAAAGCATGGTGTAATTTTATATGAATTATTTCTCATTCGTAGCTCATTCAAACACACAGGAATGTCATGGCAAAAGTCCAGATTTTAAACTTTCAATCCAAACCACATTCGTGTTTGTAAGTAGGAGACGGGTTTTTTTTTTTAAACTTGAATTTGATGAAAAGAGGTTGTTGCGGAAGTAAAACACTTCATTTGAAGGCTACCTACATAAGAACTTTACATTACACATTAATGAGCACTGAATAATGTATTTATAAAGCAATGCTTGAGTATTAATGAACAGCTTCAGTTATCATTTGCAAGATGACAAGATGTTTTATGAAGTAAATAACATTGTACTGACATAAGGGACCTTAAACTGAAGGGATGGACAGTTTGTTTCATTTATAACACTGTTATAACTATGTCCTATGAGCTTATCAGTGCATCTCTACTTGCTTCAAATTATTCGTCTCCTTAAAAAAACTCCTTAAGTTTCAGAGATACTTAAAGAACTGCTTTGTGTATGAAGGCAGTTTGTTGTGGAGGGTTTAGGAGGAGTGACAGCACTTCATTATTCATAATTCACTATGACGGAAAATCTGTAACCATACATTTTGGAGGCCTCTCAGATCAAGTGACAAAACATTGGTGGGGCTTTCGCTGTTAACCACCCTTTTCAGACTGTTCAGTAATATATTACACCCACAACAACAAAAAGCAACTAACACAAAAACTGTCAGAAAGCAGTGAAGTGCCAGAAAAAGACTGGATTTCAAGAACAAACCATGTGATTTTCTCGCCAAGGAATAATAATAACATAAATCTGCTGTCATTCATGGCAAAGGCATAGCGGTGTGGTAAATGTAAACGTACTGCCACAGATTTATGGACATACTCAAGAACAAATGCATGCATAAGGCATTTACACACTGTTAACCTCTTTTAAGCACTGCACTGGTTCAAGCATTCATCTGTGTCCATGAGGGTGGACTGAGATCTGGTCTAAGCCTAGATTTCAGAAGGTGTTAGGAGTCATGATTCATATTTGATAACGTCTTGCTCGTCATTCATTTGTACTGTATCCAGGCACTCTTGTAATTAGTGAATTCAGGTGCACCCATTGCTGACCACAGGTGTTCAATTGTGCACTCACAGCTTATATAATCTCCATAGAAAAGCACTGACCAATAGAATGGGACACTGGAACAGGCACCATGCCCAATATTAAGTGTGGGCTAGAGGGGTATAAAGCCCCCCAGCATTAAGCTGGAGAGCAGTTGAACTGCATCCTCTGGAGTGAATGAGCTCCATCCAGTACCACTGGGATGAGTTCCAGAACTGACCATCCAACATCACATGACCTCACTAATGCTCACGAATGCAATCAAATCCTCACCGCAAATGTTCCAACATCTAATGTAAAGCCTTCTCAGAAGTGTAGAGGCTGTTACTGCAGCAAAGGAGGCCAAACTCACTATTAATACCCTTCATTTCAGAAGAAACACAGGATAAGCAAGTGTCTACAAACTTTGGGATATATAATATATGTGGACACTGAAAAGGGCATAAACATTAATACACACAATAACACTCACAGGTAGTGATCAGCGCAAAATATGGTGGTCTCAGCGTCCAAGCGATTGCGTCTCCGCATAGCAGGAGTGGAGTTCTCTGGGTCTTCGACATCAGTCACATCCGACAGTTCCTCCTGATCAGGCGAGAGGAGGAACGTTAGTTATTGAGACCAAAAGCACATTTGGTCAGTTAAGTATGCTTTTAGGTAGAGGTCTTCACTCCCAAGGATTCAGGACACAGAACTAGTTTTCAGTGTCGTACGTGGGAATGGGTGGGTAACTAGCCCACTGCAGGTGGGACACGAAGAGAAATCCTGCAAATGAATGAATAGCCTAAGTAAAGTAGAATGATTACTAAATCATGTACATAAACAATATAAAATGATAACAGTAAAACAAAATTAAATTAAGTCATTCTAAAGAGTTGCGAAGCAACCAATCATGTGAACAACATGCAAATTCTTGTTGCTTAGAGACGGCAGAGCCTTCAGTCCGGCGGCCTCAGCTGCTGAGCCTCACAAAACACCAAAAAATAACCGTTCTGTGTTTTAATTACTGCTTTGTGAATACTGTAAATAAATGTAGTTACTTCACAGTAGCCACGTTTACATGCAGCCTAATAATCTGATCAATCAGCTCAATCAGAATAGAATACGTCCATGTAAACACCTTAGTCAGAATAGACTAGTCCAATTGAGGCCATTCAGAATAGAATTGCTATCCGATTGAACGAGGTGGGTAATCCTATAAATAATCCATTAAATAGAAGAATAATAACCGTGTAAACGCCTGTATCCGATTACATTCCCTATCGGAAAGTTTAAGTCCGTTCTGATCATGTTCGTCGCGTCATAGTGAAAGTTTATACCGTTCAACATGGCGGAGCAGAAACTGGTCTGCAGAGGAGACGAAGTTTATGCTCTGATCTTTAAAAGACGGCGGTGGGACGGACGTCCAGCTTATGTGTCTCAGAACACGACGTCTTCCTCTCGGCCTTCTTTAATAAGGACATGTGAAGGACGTTTTCCTGAGTCTGACATCATTTTAAAGCAACTAAAAACACAAGCGCTGCTCACTGCTGCTCATCTCACTCTGACTGGACTCACGTGATGCTGGTTGTCATGGTAACGTCCACACTAAGTAGTTCTCTATGCATGTGCATTAATTTGGATCGGATTACTTGTAGTGAGCATGTAGAAGGAGACTTTCCAACAGATTGTTGAGTAGAGTGAGCAGATAAACATCTCAGTCTTAATCTATAATCGGAATGTATTCAATCAGATTGGCAGAAGTCTTTGCATGTCAACATTGCCAGTGAGCCTGATGACCATGACCGCAGTTTTATTTTAGCAGAGGATAATGTGTTTGTGAAATGATCTAAAATGTCGGATATTAAATATCAGTTCGCCTTGACGGATCTGCGTGGGCAGGAGCGGGCCAAAACGTCTCAGCTGCAGGCGGGAGCGGGATAAAATCTTGCGGGAGCGGGCGGGCGCTATGAAAAAAGTCAGACCTCTACTTTTAGGTCCCATTTCATACAATGACGAAAGGAATGGAACTATTTGCTAAATGTTCTAAAGTCCAAAACTTCTGCTTATTTCAGCAACTTAGCTCAGTAAAAGCCAGACATGTGTGTGCTGACGTTTTCTTACCTGAAGTCTGGAGAAGACGCCCGTCCTGAGGTTTCCGAAGCCGTATTTCTGCAGCTTCTTCAGGTCGTCTTCTGAAGACTCCACGTAGGCCTCCTGCTCTAACTGCCAGTCAAAATCCTCCTCTTCATCTTCGCCCTCCTGAACTGCCTCGCTCCCGCCACACGCCCCTCAAAAGGTAGCCAGGCCGAGGAGGGATAGAAAAGAACACTTGAAAGACCAGCAGCAAAGGAGAAACAGTACATTCTGAGTGAATGTGAGTGAAAGAAAGGAAAAGTGTCTGGATTCTAGCATACCTAAGTCCTCAACCAGGGGTTTGGCCGACCTAGAACCCTTGGGTGCCAAAAGACTGGTCAGCATCTGCAGCCCCTCAAAGTGCTCTCCGGCTGTCTCCTTAGGAACACGCATCGTGAAGAGACCTGACATATAAGAACGCGGGGGTATATAAGCTTTAGTGAGATTTTAATGACTTCTGCAGATTGATGTGAGATTTATGTGTTAAATGTCATCTTTTATCCCAGGATATTCACCTGAATATCCAAAATAATATGGTGTAAGACAAAGTCTTGCTGCACAGTAAACCACTGGCATGTAGATGCTTTCTTAGTATTATGTTCATCTGCCTTGTCTGTAATCAAGCAAAGAAAATTGATCTGCTGCACTTCTTTTATCTTTAGTTAGATCAACAGTGAAGCCAAGCAAGCCAGTTATAGAAGCAGCCATGCTCAGCCAGCCACAACATTACAGCCATTATTATTTATTTATTTATTTTTATTTGTTTACAGAACACGTTTGCTTTCCTTATGACTGGCAGTGGCTTCAACTTCATCACATAACTTTCCCCTTACAGTGCCAAAAGCTGTGGATGGTACTGTCGAGTATTTTTGTATGGGGAACGTGTATTCTCATGCAGGCCTAGGACCAACAACACCCACCCCACCCATCATCTAAGCTGCTTATCCTCCTGGGTCGTGGGAGTGCCGAAGCCTATCCCAGCGGTCACTGGGCAGAAGGCAAGAAACACCCTGGACCAGCCACAGTCCATTCACTGAACACTTTTTTAATATCTCAGTGCATTAATACATAATTTAGTTGATGTGTGCGCTTGTGGGCAATCAGCCCTATCTGATCAACCAATCAGATGTCAGAACCAGAACTATCCATTTTATTATTGATATTTTGATGAGTCGCATAGTTGGTTTTAGGCATGTCTATTAATGACCAACTAATGTCAGTAATCGGTCAAAAGAATTTGCCAAAAATATGCATCCCTACTTCAGACTCTAAGGCTTTGTTCACACAGCAGGTAAAAGTGGCCCAAATCTGATCTTTTTCTTCATATGTGACACAGATGTGTGTCTGTGTGTCAGTGTGAACAGATAAACACACTGAATCTGACATTTTCAATTCCGATTCGAGATGCTTTTATATGTGGTGCTGAAATCCGATACGTATCCGATCTGCGGCAGTGAGACTCAGTCTGAACAGCCAGATCGGAATTCATGTGACCTTTACGTCAGTCCAACTCCACATTCGTCATAATTTCACGCTGCTGAGACCTCAAACATTTCGGCTGATGTTTCTGTACCAAAAATTAGAAGAGACTCACACAAATCGCTCTGTGTTCAAGAGATTTTGAAAAAAATTGACAAACGTGGCCGCAGGAGAACGAGGCTGCAGCGTCAAAGAACAGTAAAAAGTCTGAAAGCAAAGTTTAAAGAATCCGAGGACGCGAACCAAAGAAGTGACCGCGCCCTTTTTGCGGCTCGAACACATTCTGGGTGATGAGCCCAGCTGTCAGTCAGTGAAGCTTCATGATAGCTCCTGTGATGCTGGTGAAGATGAAACTGAGCGACTTGGCAGTTATGATTGTTTACCTCTGGATGAGCCGTGAATCAGCGTGACGCTCTGTTCTTTTGCGCATGCTGGTCAGTTTAGGAGCTGATCTGTTCAGACTGATGTCGCATACAGATCACATTTAAAAGATAATCTGAACAGACAAACAAAAAAAAATTTGGTGAGAAAATCAGATTTGGGCCACTTTTACCTGCTGTGTGAACGTAGCTATAGATAAAGACAGCTGACATACATGATAGTGTCCTACAATATAAACAGGGATCCATTTCAGTCATGGCCCATGTAAGAAGATGCCCCTATTAAAAATAAACAAATAAATAAATAAATAAATAAATAAATAAATAATCACCTGCCTTGTAAAACTGCCATGGCCCCTTTTCCATCCCCATTAGAATAACGTCATTATCACCTAAGATGTTTAACACCTATATTGTGATTCCATCCAGATTTGAGATTTACAGACTACCTTTGTTTACAAAAAAAACATCAAAGACTTTGTAAGATTGCCTCAAGCTGTTTATATTCACAGCCAGCTGCAGATAATAACACAAAATGGGCTGTAATATGTTGGTATAAAAGAGATTGCTGGCCAGGCAATCTACTCACAGAATGAGATGAGCGATTTCTGAAAAGCCTTTTTATCCTGCGCTACCAAAGCCGTATACTTTTACAATCTGACCACTGAACGTAACCTTCTGAATAACCACATGAAAGCATGAAGGAGAGCGATATTCGAGGACTGTGTCACAGTTGGATCACAGCTTACATCATCGCTCTTTCATTTCTGTCCGCCAGCATGCAAAAAAAAAGAGAAACAGAAGAAAAAAAGCAATAAGTTGAAGAAATCTCAGGTTTAAAGGGGAATTCCACCGATTTTTTCTGCACAGTTTAATCACTGACATGTAAACAAAGTCATTCAGAGTGGCTGGATGTGAGTTGATGTCTTTACAGTGGTGGTGATAGGAACCAGGGGTCGGCATGTCCACAACACAAATATAGCCATTTTATTTACTATCCAAAACCACCAGTGAACCTACACGAGTTTTTATATGTAACGTTGATCATCTTAAAAAGTTTTTCTTTGACTTACAACACCCTGCATGCACCTCTCCACCATGAACATATGTGAAAACTGCATTTTAGGCTAAGAACTATCGTAAAACAATGACTGCGTTTACATGCACTTAATAATCCGATGACTGCAGAAAATCAGATTTTGTCAGTAATCTGATCAACGTGTTTACATACACTTGAGTAATCAGATAATGGGGAAACTCCAGGTCTACATGAGTCAGACAGAAATCGGATTTCTGCTTTGAAACCAGCCAATAAACTCACAGAAGAAGACGTGACGTAAACGTAATGTAAGACTCGTAAACTTCATGTCGCGGCTTTTTTAAAAGAAACCTCACGTCACTTTACCTGAAAACATGAAATTTACCTGAAAATATATATAACCTAAATATTCTTCATCTTCATAGAAGGTGAAGAATATTTAAACCCTTAATTTCGTGAAGAATGTATTTGGTTTCAGCGGCGCTCCAAAACTGTTTTGCTGCGTCTCGCGGCGACGCTGCTCGCTTATTTCCGGTACCGCCGTCTGTTTTCGCACATGTGCAGACTGAGAAATCCGAAAGAAATCAGAGTAAGAGTTCACATGCACTGAGAAATCTGATTACTGAGCTAAAACCAGCTCTCTTTATCGGATTTCTTAACCAGATTTCTAGACCTTAATCTGATCTAAGAAATCAGAGTTTTCTGTTTACACAACCATTTTCATCAATCAATCAACCTTTATTTAACCTCAGCGAACACTGAGGGTGGCCCTTATTTACAATGTTTCAGAATAATCAGATAACTCCAGAAATCTGATTATGACTGGATTATTGAGTGCAAGCAAACACACTCAATACCAGGCATGAGGAAGCGCACTGTTGACCATTTAATGTAGCAAATTTCTGTGAGGGAGCTTTTATCAGTAAATGATTGAACTGCACATTTAACTTTTAGGCATTCTGGTGATTCAAATGACTCAGTTAATCCACTTTAAGCTAAAATAAGCTAAAATAAGCTAAAATAAGCTACAGTACAGTTGAGACAGAATGTTCTGTTAAGGCATATAAAAACCTGTTGCAAAAAAATAAATAAATAAATAAATAAATCAACACTTCACTGTTCTGCTTATCTAAAAACGTATTACATGGTTACGCTGATAATTACTTTGGTCGAGGTCCCTGACGAGACATCTGAGTGATTTATAATTACTTGTGTAAACACAGAAAGCAATTAGCGGCGCCTTTATGACTGACTGTTGCTGAATAATTCACCGTGTGTGCGCTGGGGAGGGCGAGGCAAAATAAGGGCAACGAGGTGTCAAGCGAGAGTCTATATCCACGGCGCGTAATTAATACCACTAACAGACAGCTCATTAAAGGACCTGTCAGCGCCACGACGGATAGGTCGAGCACCATCGCGTCGCTACTACTGTTCTGCCTTCTATCGCCGAGATAGATAAGCGATTAATAAGCGTGATAAAAGACAGGGTGAAGAATGGAGTGGAAGTTAAGTGTCACAGCAGACAGCGAGAAAAGAGATGGAAGCAGACAGAGTACTTATTACCGCAGGCCTGACCCAACCTGCCTATTAAACGTCTGAGACCATCAGCCAAATCTCAGACTAGGCTTGTGAACAATCGATTGCGTCCACGTTCGCCCCAAAGCCAACTTCTCTCAGGAGTCGTTCTGCGACGCTACTGTATTATTGCATTCCATTTTTCAAGGGCTTATTAAATAATATGTCGTAAAGGGGAATTATTTTTCTAAATCTCTGCACAAAGTCATTCGGAGTGGTTTGTTGTGAAATCTTCTACTGCAAAAAAAAGTATCTTGTCAAGTTAAATAATTTTAAATCTAGTCAACATGTCTAATATTTCCCATTTTGAGATGATGTGCACTTATTATATGATTATCAAGCTTATTTCTAGACAATTTCCACCTGTTTTAAGTAATTTTATTAAGTAATATGTCACTATACGGATAGATAATTCTGTTGGGCAAATTTCTTAAAACTAGCAAAATTATCTGCCAATATAGATGAGATCATTTTATTCTCCAGGGTATATTTTGGTTTGTCCATCTGAATTTACATGACCAAATCGTAAGGTAAATTATTCAGTAACTGCATGAAATAAATGTACATTTTTATTTTATTTATTTATTTATTTGTAAAAGCTCCCCTCAAATTAACAGAACATGTGTTTTATGATCACACATATTGCTATATTTTTATAATTTTCTGCTGAAAGTCAAAAATCTTAGACGCTCTTTGTATTATTTTATAAATATAATTTTTACAGAGCAGATCACTGAAGAGACGCCATCTGTTTATAGTTTACAGCCCAGATTTGTGGAAAAGTTCAGCTTCTTTTATTATAAGGGCTTAAAATTACATCACCCATCTATTTGACTGGAAAGAAGACAGTTACAGCTCTCATACGACCCCCACCTTTTGAATGTAGCTTATAAATTATATGAAACTTGAGAAGAATATGACAAAGTGTGTT